AAAGGGGGGGGAGGCCCGCAGGCCGGCCTGCGGCTCCGACTCAGTATCCCCGGAGCGACCGACTCGTGTACCCCGCGGAGGTGCTGCGTTTCCGTGCTCCAGCGTGCACGACACATCCACACACGCCGTAACCAGCTACCACACTGATTCCTTTGCCCTGCACGCACGCCTAACACACACATACACCCACACACACATACACGTCGGATAGAAAGGTGCGCGTACGTACACGAGGCACGCGCGCGTGTGCCTCGATCACACACCTGTTCCTCGAGGAGACACGCCGATATCTCTGGCCGAGAGCGGACACCGCGACAGTTCGACGACGCGCGTGTTTATCGCCGCGACTGTTGTTTGTGTCGCGTGTGAGAGGGGTGTGCACCCCGTTCGGTTGTGAAAGTTGGATTCAAGGTTGATGGATTACCCGCTCGTGCTGGCTCGCTGAACGCCCTGGGATTTTTCGGGTGCTCGAAACACGTGTTGGACTCGAACAGGTGGATCCTGCTTGTGGTTTATGGTGGCCGGGATGATATTAAGGCATCGCGTAAACAGTCCGCTCGATTAATTATCCGCGGAGCGAAGAGAAAGGGGAAAACGAAGAGGATCGACCTATCGATATCGCACGATCAAAGGCAGAGGGAAAGGTGTACCTGTCGCGTCGCGAGAGTGTGCGTGAACATCTTCGAGGTCCGTGCCGCGTCCTCGTTGGAAAGCGAGGCGATCTCTCACGGTTGGACGACTCGTCTCGAAACTCCAAACTCTCGAGATAAAAGTGATCCGAAACGTTCACGGTGTTAAACAGTGTATTATACGGTGTGCCCGTAGTACGGTGACCCAGTAATTGAGGTGTGTGCGCGGACCGGAAGTGAAGTGCCAGAGGATTCGATAGAATCGTATATATACGTTGTGAAGAGTGTTTTAAGGAATAACGAGATCGATCGGGATCTATTCGATAGATCGTCGAGAGTGGCTGGGGAACGCAGGTGACCCACGGGGAATGGTGATGCGGTAGTCGAGGGATTCCTCGAGGAAAGACATGAGGGCGGCCGCCGCCTACGTCCTGTTCCTTGCCCACCTCATACAGGTACGTGTACGCTTTATCTACCCTATTCGCGACAACCTACAGCGAATTCTCTTCCGTATTCGACTCATACGGGCATGTACGCTGTCACCGAGCTTAATGGAGCCGACGGACCGACCCAGACTCTTCCTCAACTTTTCCGACTTCCCAAGTATGCTTCGTCGAACACTCGTTACTTTCGTTCGAAAAACGGACCATTTTAGGATTTACAGGTCTGAGGATTTTAACGTTGAGGATTTAGGGAGCTTGTGGGGTCGAGGATTTGGGTAGCTGGATGACCCAGACTCTTCCTCAACTTTTCCGACTTCCCAAGTATGCTTCGTCGAACACTCGTTACTTTCGTTCGAAAAACGGACCATTTTAGGATTTACAGGTCTGAGGATTTTAACGTTGAGGATTTAGGGAGCTTGTGGGGTCGAGGATTTGGGTAGCTGGAAATTTCAGGATTTGCAAATTTGAGAATTTCATAATTGGGGATTGAGGCAATTTGTGGCTTCAAGGATTTGGATATCTGGAAATTGCAAGTTTCATAAATTTGAGAATTTCATAATTGAGGATTTGGGGAATTTGTGGCTTCAAGGATTAGGATATCTGGAAATTTCAGGATTTGCAAATTTGGCAATTGCATAATTGAGGATTCAGGCAATTTGTGGCTTCAAGGATTTGGATATCTGGAAATTTCAAGTTTCATAAATTTGAGAATTTCATAATTGAGGATTTGGAGAATTTGTGGCTTCAAGGATTAGGATATCTGGAAATTTCAGAATTTGCAAATTTGGCAATTGCATAATTGAGGATTCAGGCAATTTATGGTTTCAAGGATTTGGATATCTGGAAATTGCAAGTTTCATAAATTTGAGAATTTCATAATTGAGGATTTGGGGAATTTGTGGTTTCAAGGATTTGGATATCTGGAAATTTCAAGTTTCATAAATTTGAGAACTTCATAATTGAGGATTTAGGGAATTTGTGGTTTCAAGGATTTGGATATGTGAAGACTGATATCTGGAAATTTCAGAGATCTAACACGTATCTAGGCAAATGCAGGAATTTGGGTATAGGGTTTCAATATAAGAATTTGGGACTTTCTAAGAATCTTATGTGAGAAATTTAGAATATGTGAACCTGGGGTTTGAGTATAGGAACTCATAGACTTCAAGAAATTTAGAATATGTGAACCTGGGTATTTGGTTACAGGAACTCATAGAAGTCGAGAATTTTAGAATCTGAACCTGGACATTTAAGTATAGGAACTCATAGCGCTTGATCTCATAGGACTTCATCTCAGGGTTCATTAATTCAACAATCTGAACATTTGATCCGCACATCTGAGAACTCTGTGATCCACTTTGAAGATACTTGTTAAGAAATCCAGAAATTCGGGTATATTTACAATGTGGACATATCTGGGTATTTGCAAATAAATAAAAAATGAATTTCAAGAGTTAGAATTGTAAGAACTTACCGACGGACCTAACCTCTACACCTCGTGACTTTTCCGAGTTGTTACGCGTGTACAACGCGATCGAACAACAGTTTTGCGGTCTGGGATGCTTTCGTTGGAAATTGTAGTTATTGCGGTTATTGTGGTTTCGGATACGTATCGCAGGGAGAACTTGTGATTTGTATTTGGCGTTTATGTGTGGTCTGATGAAAAGTTTCCTGTAATCTTTGTTTACTGGTCTCTTCATTTCTATTTGCGTTACCTTCTCAGAGAATCTTTGCATACTAGTCATGGTTCGAGAAACATTCTTTCAATTAACAGGACACTCGTGCAGCACAAGGATACACAAAATGACACACAGTATGTCAGAAAAGTAGATTCCATGAACATTGTACTTCAGATGTACTTCAAGCTTTGTACAAAGTGATTCAAAGTAACGTTCGAGGCTACCCAACTAAGATTCCTAACAAACTAACTTTTCTGAGACTCTTTTGAGACCAAAGATTCCCGTCATTACAAGAGCATGGTACTTCAAATGTGCACAGTATGTCGGAAAAGTAACGGAACTTTTTAAATTTAAGGAAAACTAGCGCCATCTATTAAAACAATATCTGAAAACAGTATACCTCCCCTACAAAACACGGCAATCATTATTGGAATCGAGCAACGAATCGTAAACTTATAGCGTTTAATGCGACAGAACCTTTCGTCACCGTGTCACAAAATCACGGGCAAGCGCAACAAATTGCGAGCGTTGAATATTGCGAGGATCTTATCAAAACAGCCAGACGAAACTGTACATTCCTGGAATCGATTGTAACTAGTGATGGGACTTGGTGCTTCGAGTATGAACCTCGAACAAAGCGCCAAAGTGCTACGTGGAAATCTGCAGGCTCTCGAAAATCAAAAAAATTGCGATTCCAGAGGTCCCTCGAGAAGACAATGTTAATTTGCTTTTACGATTCTAAAGGAATTATACTTCGGGAATTCGGTCTACAGGGACAAAACGTTAATGGCGAATATTATCTGGGTGTTATGGAACGTTTGTGGAAGAGGATCGTTCGTGTGAGGCCCGAATATCGAGTGCTGGGAAGTTGGTTTCTGTTGCATGATTACGCACCATGTGAACTGTCGCTGTTCGTGAATTTTTGGCGAAAAAACAAGTCTGTTCCAACATCCTCTTTCTGACTTATCTCCATGAGATTACTTCCTTTTTCCAAAACTGAAATTAGCTATAAAGGGAACGGTTCATGACACTGTAACACAAATTCAAGCAGCTGTGACGTGTCTGAAGCAATCATGCAAGACATAAAAAAATGTTAACATTGTGTGAGCCTAGCGGTGTATTAATGCGCCGCATTTCGTCGTGTTAATTAATATAATTTACTACAATTTTGTTACTAAAAACGAAAGAAAACACAATCACTTTCTTTCGCAACGAGCAGTAGCCTCGTAATTACGAGGCATCCTGTAGAGCAGCAGGTATTTAGATCACAGACTGGAATTATGATAAATATTGATAGACACCGTCGTAACACGCTTAGCAAGGTGTACTCGCCGATAAAATCTCAGACTGTAACCAAACAAATTGCTTGGTGCCCCATAGAAAACTCGAACGGACCCGAGTAATTACCGTACGATGTCGTACGATAAGAACCAGAAGCGAGATAAAACGATAATCACCGACAGCTCGGAACGTCCGCCGTCACTCCGTTTGACCTGCATCGATACCAGTTATAGAAAACGATTACATATTAATTACATGTATCAGCACGAATGAAGCGCAAACTGTCGCAAAGTGGAACGATTAGATAACTAGCGTCGAGCAGCGATGAATCATTGGGACGAGGTTTATTAACTTATCTTAGACGCTAATTCGATGAGCGCGTAAAGACGCTCTCTCTCGACACACGTCCCCGTCAATTCTCTCCTTTCGTCTCATCTGCTCTCCCTAGCTCGATTTTATCGAGGGTTTGATGGAACATAGTGTCGCTTTCAACAGCGCGAAAAATTCCCATACGTTTGCCAAACTCTTGTCTCGTTGATCGCCACTTCCGCTAGAACGTTTTCAAAGTAAAACGTATTTCCATCTTGCGTTACTTTCTTACGCAATGTCTCACGACTTGTCCCTGTTTCTTTTACCTAATTACGCGAGTACAGGTGATATTTTCGAAGAGTTCGGATGAAATTTGATACGTTTGCTTTTAGGGTGGCAATACAATCCGTGGTTATATAGCGTGGACATGTAGTATTGTCATATTGTAGGTGTGCATACATATTTGGGATATTTACATATACGGCGCGTGAATATGCAGCGGGTGTATATGTGGCGCGGAGATACGTAGAGAGGGTATATGACGAGTGGATGTACGCGATGGATATAACACGCGTGGAGATGCGACATGTGGAGATACAACGCGTGGAGATGCGACATGTGGAAATACAAAGCGTGAGTATGTGTCACATGGTGGTATAACGCGTGGAGATGTGACGCGTAGGGATATGATGCGTGGAGATGTGATGTGTGAGTTTACCATGCGTGAAGATATGGCACGTGAGTTTACCATGCGTGGAGATGCGACGCGTGAGTTTACCATGCGTGGAGATACGACGCGCGAATTTACCATGCGTGGAGATACGACGCGTGAGTTTACCATGCGTAGGGATATGTAACGCGTAGATATATGGAACGTCCATATACCACGCGTAGATGTATAATACGTGGAAATACAGAGCGTGGATATACAACACGTGGAAATATTACGCGTGGAGGTATCACGCATGGAAATACCACGCGTGGAGGTATCACACATGGAAATACCACGCATGGAGATATCACACATGGAAATACCACGCGTGGAGTTATCACGCATGGAAATACCACGCGTGGAGGTATCACGCATGGAAATACCACGCGTGGAGATATCACACATGGAAATACCGCGCGTGGAGATATCACACATGGAAATATCACGCGTGGAGGTATCACGCATGGAAATACCACGCGTGGAGGTATCACACATGGAAATACCACGCATGGAGATATCACACATGGAAATACCACGCGTGGAGGTATCACACATGGAAATACCACGCGTGGAGGTATCACACATGGAAATACCACGCGTGGAGGCATCACACATGGAAATACCACGCATGTATAATACGTGGAAATACAGAGCGTGGATATACAACACGTGGAAATATTACGCGTGGAGGTATCACGCATGGAAATACCACGCGTGGAGGTATCACACATGGAAATACCACGCGTGGAGATATCACACATGGAAATACCACGCGTGGAAATATCACACATGGAAATATCACGCGTGGAGGTATCACACATAGAAATACCACGTGTAGATATACCACACACAAAAGCACCATATATTAATACACCATAATATGCACCATGTGAACACTACGAGTGGCACATACATTGAAATACAAAGCATGGATTTACACCGCGTGGACTTACCGCGTCCACTTGAAACTTGTACATAAACAAACTGCAAAAATGTGTAAAAACAGCAAACGTAAATGATTTAAACAATCA